GCAGCTTACGTCTTGATGGAACTGCCCCTCATGGTCCCATTCGAGGAGAGGAATGTATGAAGATCTTTCTAAGGTTGATTCAGGTAAGCAAGAGGAGATGGGTGTGAAGGGCCTGGGCTCAACTTCACCATGGTGAACAACAGCCTGGGGAGACCCGGCGGACTGAACTTAAGTTTGGTGGGACAGATATCCCTGGCGTCAGTGCTAACTGCATTGCATACATCCACTGGTGGCCAACTACAGGCTGAACAAACAGATCCTCCTGCACTGTCTGGCTTTCTGACAGGGCTTGCCCAATGTCATCAGCTGCAGTGGCTGTGGATGTTTGATCAGCCGGAAAGGCAGGTATTAATTTTTGGTGCACAAATTCCTATTAGTCTGCAGGACATAAAACCCTTTACAAACTATTCTGGAGGCTGTTCTGCCAAACATCCTGTCATTAATATCTGTTGGAGAGTTGTAGAATGCTTCATTGATGAAGAAAAGTCCAAATTGCTCAAGTTTTTAAAGTTACTCTTATCCTCCTCTTGTGTTCTCCATCTACAATGCAGGTTTCAATGTGGAGAAGCTGCCAACAGCCGGCATCTGCATTAACTTGCTGAAGCTGCCAGAGACCTATGTTGAGATGCTCCTGTGCAGCAAGCTGCCCTACACCATCGAGTATGTGGCCAGCTTCAAGCTGAGCTGAATGGGCCAGGCTGGGGAAGATGAAATGACCCAACCACACCAGAGGCCTCAGCTGCACTCCTCAGTAATCCCCAAAGCCCATCTTTTTCCCAATCACTTGCCCCCATCATTTAAAAAATGATTTTTATTACAACATGGTCACATATTCAGATGAATAGTGTTGTTCAAATAACTTAAATAACTATTGTTATGTGCCATGTGGCCAATTTAGTAACTTTGCCAAGAAGAGCAGTTTTAGACCAGTGGCGATTATGTGAAATTAAAGATGAAGCTGTGGGTCTGCTAACCCAGTAAGGGTACCACCTGACCCACCTCGTGCCCAGTCTACAGAGATGGCATGCAGGCTGCCAAGTGCGGGCCTGCAAGGCCACCCCTTTTCATGTGGTTGATGGTTTACAGGCCTGATTGTTAAAACTGAAGGTGGTTTATCCTGCTGCCTTTGCCCAAAGTAGTTAGGTCTGGAGAAGAGATAATGATAGTGTTATTTTGTTTGTGGTTTTTAAGCTATTTCCCCAGGTGGGACTAGCATGCTTCTGTTCCATGTTACGATGACCTGCATCATGATAGTCTGAATACTGCTGTGTGATTATATGGTGGATGCCTCATTCCTCGCTCATCTCCATCTCCACTTGTGCCTAGAGAGCTTCTGAGGAGGCAGAGGAGGGTCCCTGCACCATGCCCACACGTCACCTGCAGTAAATGGTAGCCAGGGAAGAGAACAGGCACTGCAGCTTCTATAAAATCATTTGAACCAAAGTGGTGAGCTGCATGTATCTGTGATCATGCATCCACCTTGGCCCAGGGCACATGACCACCATCCTGGACATCCTAGAACAATATGGTGGCCCTCAGCACCCTCTGCTGCTTGCTGCCACTTGGACACAAAGACAGCATCCTTGGCACATTGTGCAGAGGGGGTGTTGGGTGATTTTTACATAGACACTTTAATAGGAGCTGACTTGTCACTGAACAACCTTAGCCTTTGCCAGCAGCCAGCAGCCAGAAGCACAGCTCAAAGCATGAGGTGTGGACCACACAGGTGGACACTGGGGAGGAGGACCCGGGCCTGACCTTGCCATACGCAGCATCACATTATGGGCTCTGGGACTGCTATATATAATTTACCAGTATTAGCAATATACTTCTAAGTGTGCAGAAACTGAACAACACATTTAAGACAATGACCATTGAAACAAAATGTACAATTTCTTAATTTGAAAATAAGCTAAGTATTTAAGTGCTATTTGTAGTCTTGATATACAGAAATAAATAGCATTTATCTTTGGTTAAAATAATCAACAAGAAGAAAACAATGCCTTACTGCTAGGAAAAAGTACAGTACTCAAATGACAGATTTCTCATAAAAAACCATGGTGGCTGGAATACAACAGAACATGTTTCAACTGCTGAAAGCAAAGAACCATTAACCTAGAATTCTACACTCAGTGAAAACATTTATCAAATATGAAGGGAAATCAAGATACTATAAAATGAAATAAAACTAAGAGAATTTTGCTCATCAAATGTATCCTATACAGAAAAACAATACCGAAAGAAAGGCCCTTTGAAGATTTGGAAAGAGAACATATTAAGTAAAAATAATGTGTGAAAGGAATGGATTTTTATTTTTCTCTAGAGTTTTCTAAATTACATTTGATAGTTGAAGCAGTGTAATTCATTGGTAAAGCGTTTTCCTAGTAGCACTTGTAAGGTCCTGGGTTCAATCCCCGGCACCAAATTAAAAAATTATAATGTTGTCCAATATGGTTATAAGAAAACTAAGGAAAGATTTTAAAAAATTATTACTATAAATGGAAGGAGGTAAAGAGACAGAAGGGAAGTTAAGGTTTTCATATTTGATTTCAGTTGGTAAAATGGTGATGCCAATAGACTGATAAGTTACATATGTAACTTAGGAAATAAATAGGACACACATGTATAAATACCGAATAGTTTCTCTAGTGTGAGAAACTGAAAGTGTAAATAAGTACTAAAAGGTAAAATAGATAATGTGAAATAGGAAGAAAAGGGGCAAAGGGGAAGGGGAAGTGGGAGGGGCAGGGGAAAGGAAAGAAGGGAATGGAATTAATATGAGAAAATGGAAAAATGGAAACAAAGTCTTTGTAAATAGGGAGGAATGGAGGGGTTGAAGGGAGGGCAGGGGAATGGGGAAAAAATAAGAACCAAGAGAGATTATGTAAAGGTGCAAATTTCCAATGATGTATGTCATTATATTGTATACCTAAAATGTACCAATGATTAGAATGAATAATCGATAATGCAAAATAGGAAGAAAAGGTCCAAAGGGGTAGGGGTAGTGAGAGGGGCAGGGGAAAGGAAAGAAGGGAAAGGAAAAGTGATGAGAAATGGAAAAAATGGAAATAAAGTCTTTGTAAATAGGGAAGGGTGGGGGGGTGAAGGGAGGGCTAGGAATGGGGAAAAAATAAGAACCAAGATGCATTATGTAAAGGTACAATTCCCGATGAGAAATGTAATTGTGTTGTATACCTAAAATGTACCAATAAAAGAATTTAATAAAATAAGTTATATATGTAACTTAAATTATGTGATGTCTACAGCAAGCATATTTACATATTCAAAAAATACATTAAGACAATATAAAAAATCAAAATGGAATTCTAAAAACCATTCAAATAACCAATAGGAAGCAAAAAGAAAAAGAACACACAAAACAAAAATTCAGGTGACAAATTAAAGCGTTAATATAGCAGTGATTACATTAAATATACATGGTCTAAATTCACCAGCTTTAAGAAAGATGTGGGAGGAAGGGGATTAAAACCATGTGCTGTCTGCAAGCCCTAACTGAACCCTCATTATCCTTACAGTAATTACTTAACCTTTACCAATATGCTGGCACAACTATACGACTGGCATCAGATACCACCTTTAAGTGTTAAAATGTTGAGGAAGTTTAGTTTGTTGTTGAAGACAGACAAGTAAACAACAATCACAGTTTCATTATAATAAAAAAATAGTTGCCAAGAATGGAATATTTTGTATTTTCCCTTCCTCCAACCCAACTTTTCTACATGGGAAAAAAAGTTAATTGATTTCATTGGCCAAACTTGTCATTCATTATGCAAGTTAGTTACATGGAATTATTAACTCATGATGTTTTCTAGTATTTTTCCTCAAGATAAATGACTCCTTTTTACCATCTGAGGTCTACAGTGGAGGCTCAGAAATCTACATGTCAACAAGTGCCCTAAAGGACTTGGATACAGATGATCCTGCTAAGAAACACAAATTCCATTAATAGTACTATGCCTACCTGGAAGCTTTTGTGAATTAGAATCAGTGAATAATAAAGAGCCAAGTTACTTTTATGTGGGGAAACACCATTTTTTTTTTACATTAAAGGGGTATCTAATACTCAAAAAATATCGAGAGTCATCATTCTATAGTAAAAAGTCCAAATTCCTAACATTGATGCACAACAAATACCTTCCATGGCCTAGATTTCCAAGCACATCTCTTATACAAACTTTGTAAGTTTTTCCTAATATTATCCTACACTTATATCTTTTTTTCTACACTTATCCCTTAATATGGTCTCAACTTATATCAATGCTTCAAGAGTTTTCTAAATTTTTGAAATTAGGAGAGTATTTTAAAGCAATTCAACTCCTTAATTTTACAAAGAAAGCCTCCATCTGTTTGCACGCCAACCGTTTCTTGACAACCAATTTTATTTGTATTAGTTCTTAATAATTTAAAACAAAAAAAGGTATAAAATGTCCTAACAATCCCTAAGGACTTTTAAAGGGTGAACTTCAATTTTATTCTCCTTTGTCATTTAGGTCTCCATGCAGTGGTACCACTAAAAATATACTGAAAATTCAAAGTTTCAGGAGGCCAATAATCCACTTTGCAGACATGATGGAGAGCTGCTGCTACAGGTTCATTATGTAAAGAACCTCGGGGATTAAAACAAAGAAAAAGTAAAGTTTCTACAGTTTAGCCCTTTAATCATATAAACAAAATCTTAATACTGACCATGATGAAAGGAGCTAACACACATTGATCCTTTGTTCTCTGCACTGTGCTAAGCTCACATGTATATTATGATCCTCGAGCCCTTCAGTTCTGCTTGAATAAGGTAGGTAGTAACTACTGTCTTTATTTAGCAATTAATAAAATGAGCTTCAAGAAGTTAACTGCCTAGGACCCCCTAAGTAAACTCTTGCTCTTGAATGACCACCTTCCAAGGGAAGATGACCTTTAGTGGCCACGCACTGGAACCGTCAATCCCCAGCTTTCCCAGTGGACCCCCTCTGGCCCCTGCTCACATCCAGTAGCCGGTGCCCGATTCCCTCACTGTCATGGTCTTTGCCCTTTCTCTTGGCCCTGTGGGTCCTGGGTCGGTCCTGGGCGTTGTGGGCAAAAGAGGATGATACTGCGCTCTCCTGGCTGACATTGGTGCTCTGCGCTGGCGAGGCCACGAAAAGGGGCTGGATGCGCCCTCCACGGAAATCAGAAGGCCTGTGGGTCTTCTGATTTCGCTCCATCCTTCCATTCCCTAAAGGGTCAGCTGAGAGACCCACCACCTCACAGTACAGCACGGCGCTCTGTGGCCCTAGAGCCCCCGCCCCCCATACCGCCCACGTGACCCCGCGCCTTCCCTCTGTTACGTACAGCCCACGTGATTCCGCGCCTTCCCTCTGTTGCCAGACAGACAGTGTACGCGACTGCGCGTTTTCCTGGCACTGTGCCTCAGTGTACTGCAGGCAGAGGTTCAGAGTTTAGCAAGGTTGGTTGCAAGCCCTTGCCAGACGTTTTCAGTCCTTAGAAGGAAGCAGGCGTCCTGAAAATGGATGTTAAATGCCTTAATTCAGTGCCTTGTTTACCATTAAAACGTCTCCATTTATATCTTTCACCTCATCTCCCTCGGAGTCCTTCACATGTTATATCTCTAACAACCTACTGGGATATCTTCACCTGACAGTTCCACTGATGCATAAAATAAAACAGCAATACAGTCATAGTCGTCTTTCTCAATTGCTAGTATGTTCAAACCCATTGGATGTGATATTGCATGTACAAAAATTATAAAAATTTTGACCCAAATAGCTGAGCCTCCTTTTTCTTTTTATAGCATAGATGACTGCAATAGTTTACTCGGGGGTCTCCCAGCCTACTGTTATCCAAACTTTTCACTGCCCCAGTGTTAATACAGTTTTACCACTGCTGTATTCACAAAGCAAAACCAGAAAGTTTCAGGATTTCCTTATTTGCCACAAATTTTAAATGCATTTTCCTACCTCAAAATCATTTGTTTTCCTATTTTATATCGCCGCGGGCTGAGGCTAAAGATGGCCCTTCACCCCCTCCCTACTTCTTCTCTTCTCCATAGACTAAGGCATGGTCTGTCTGACTCCTATCGTAGACCCAGATGGGACAGCCCCGGGAGACAGTCACATTGTGCATCCCTCCCTGTTCCCCTCCAGCGCGTGCCCCGATCATGAAACAGTTACACTATGTTCCGCCTAGGCTGTGTAGGCCCCGTAACACTATTTGCCCCGCCTTCTCTCCCTGTTTGCCTTCCACTATAAATAAAGAGCATGAGGGACTCCAGGTGGCCATTAGCTCCCCGACGAGCTATAGTTCCACCTGGTCCCAGCTTTCAAGAACAGTCTTTGTTTCTTTGTTTTTTCTTCATCTCGCACCGCTCTCCCTGGCTTCAGACCCTGCGCTGTGGGGGTCGCAGCACTATATAGGATCTAGTCTATTTAAGGGCTCAAAAGTCAGATTCCAGTTATGATTTATAACCCGTAAACATAACTGCCAAAGGCAGAATTAACTGCTGTCTCCAACTGACTACTTGGCATGCCCCTCCTTATTAGTGAGCTCACACTATTAGCTATTAATTTCAAACGATAGTTCTTTGGAGGAAGGAACCTGATCCTCACCTTTCACTTTTCAGGATGCATGGCATAGTATCTCAAGACCCTCAATACATATTTGCTTTCATCTTGGGTCTACAATGCATGTTGTTTAATCACTGTGCCAATAAGGCTTGCTGTCTATCACCTCACTGTGATTTCCTCAGGATTTGTGTTATGCACATCCACAGTACTGCAAAAATAAATAAATAAATAAATAAATAAGCTGTGAGGAAGCTATTGAATCTAATTTTAGTGGATATTTCTATTTAATTTTTAAAATCAACATGATACAAGCACATTGTAAAAAAAATTCTTGAAGAGGTAAAGTAATTGAAAGCTCTTTCACATATTCTCCCTCACTCTTCCTCTTCCTCTTTGAATTATGTATATTGTGAATTTCTTCTTTCAATGTAATTTGTCTTCTCATCATTTTTAAGGTATCTTTTTGTTAGACCCAGGGAGAAAGAACCAATCAGAGACCGATATTAAATCCACACAGGAGTTTATTGCCTGCCGGGACCTGAGCTGAGCCTCGGACTCGAGCCCCGACTGGGGGAGACAAACATATTTTATACACCTTTGAGGCCAACAGTTTCTAGGCCCCCCTATGGGGTAGAACTACCAAAGCAAGCAAAAGGTACAGAAGCGGAACGTCCTGCTGTTGTAAAACAATAGTTGATTAATTGTTGTTTCTAAAGAGACTTTCTAAGGGGAGGAGGTTTTTAAGCTTCCTCCTTCTGAGTTCATCTAAAGGACAGGCAGGTGGGTCAAGCAGCAATATGGAGTCTGTCTTGCTAACTAGGGTCCTTCATTTTGATGAACAACATTCTTAATCTTTATGCAGTCTGATTTTATAAATGTTTATATCAATTACTTCCTCTGTCTTAGAAAATCCTTCCCTGTCCCGAGGTCTAAAGAGATTCGCTCTTTTTTCTGTGAAGCATGCTTACATTTCTATTTTAACATTGAAATCCTTGAAGGATCTTTTAACCTTGAGCATCTTTTCACAAATTGTTACTTTTTTACTTAAAACATTCAGCTAAGAATGCCTCCAATCTGAGACCACTTCAAATGACCTCCTTGGACGTTTTCCAACTTCCATGTGGAGCTTGAGTTGGCTGCAAGACTGGTTTATGGGAATTAATAGTCAGGGCACTTGAGAAAGGCACGTTCCTCTGCCCTGCTCCTCTGGATGACAGTTTGTTTCTGATTTTGTTTTATTTTGGAAGTACCATAGAGTCCTTTGGGGACCCAATTTTATTGTGCTTCCTACATTGAGCAAATTCCCTAAATTTTAGTTGCTGGCTTCCATGCCAGCTTCCAACAGATTTACAATGTTCTTAGCATTTTCACAGAATCTGCCAAATTGAATCAATTTTGTCACTCTGTTACCTCTCAGGAGTCCTGGCTTCAGTTTGAGAGAAGTGAAGGTGACACTCCAGTTGCACTTTCTAACTGTGTGACTTAATCCATGGTGTCCAAACCCTCTGCACCCTACCAAAGCCAAGCTGAACAAAAACAAGACACACAGAGGAGTTGTGCTTCCATTTCGTCTGCTCAGCCCTGGAGGAACCAGTGGGCCTGAGTGATTTGCTTTTATAATTTCTCAGTGAGTGGCTTCATTCTTCATCACTTCTTGGTCTAGTCTTTAACTCTTAAAATGAAATCTATATAATGAGAAATTGTGCAAAGAATAATGAAATATAACATGTTTTTATGCCAGATAATATTATTTCTAAAAAGATTAAAATAAAATAAACTGCCATGCCAAGAGCAATCATGCAGAAAAAGAACAGTACTAAGGAAGAGTTCGGAGCAATGCTCTTCTGAATGTCTAGGAAGCATTCGCAGTGGCAGCACAGTAGCTCCTGGGATGATTGGGTGAGCTAGTGGGTAAATAAACAGGCATTATGCCACACTGCTAAATAATATTCAAGGAAACCAAAAAATTAAAATCATCCCGACAACCTATTTACAATATAAGAATAATTTACAAATCTCAATTTTAAAGTATTTGATTGTGGATGATGTATATTCTTAAAAATCTAGTTCTTCAGTTACCGCATTACTATCTGTTCTCTCTTCTCACCTAGAGTTCTATAGTATTAGTTTTAAAATGTATCCATAGGTATCTGGGATTTTTGCTTTTACTTCTAAATACTATCACATGAGCTGGGCGTGGACACATACGCCTGTAATCCTAGCACTCAAGAGGTTGAAGCAGGAGGATCTTCACGAGTTTGAGGCCAGCTTAGGCTATATAATGAGCTCAAGGCTAGCCTTAACTGCATAGTGAGACTCTGTCTCAAAAAAACAAAGCAAATAAAAATAAACAAATACTACTATATGTATTTTATTATATTATTTTACCTCTAATTTTCTATTTTGAAAATTCTTAAACCTGTCAGAAAATTCCAATGACAGAAATTTACATCCATACTTTTCATTTAGTTGCAACAGTTGTTAACATTTTGCTCATTTATTTCATCTGTCTACCTATTTCATAGGCCTTTTTTGTGGACAATTTGAGTAAGTAGCAGACATCACGACACTTTACCCCAAGTACTTCAACTTTGTCCCCTATAAATGAGGATATTTTCCTACATAGCCCTACATAATTATTTACTCAGAAAATTAACATTCAGCTAGCATGGTTATCTACTATATAATCCCATTTCATTTTCCCTAGTCATTCCAGTAACATTTTTCATAGAGAATTTTTAGTCTGTTTCATTCAGCTGTCACATCCATAGTCTCTTAACTTAAAATCATTCCTAGTTGATTTAGTCTTTGGTGATATTGACATTTTAAACTTATCTTAAATTCTTTATTGTGGGACATTTCAAACAAACAAAAATAGAATGGCTAGTACAGACGAATAACCACTTACTGTACTCATACACACTTTCAATAGTTATCAACTCAGGGCTACCCTGTGAGGAGATAAAGACCATTCAGAAGATAGTGGGCCTGCATCCAGGGTAAGGTTGCAATGAGTGGCGGATTTCTGATGACTCCCATGGAGTTGAGTTAAAAACTGCAAGAGGAAACAAGGTACAGAGGCTGGGAATGTAAATATGTGGAAAAGCACAGCGACCCACAGAGGAGGCCTGTGTCTTTTCATACAACTTCTCTCCAGGACTGAAAGACACTGGCTGTGTACCAAGTGGTGCCCCATTTACTTAGCATGGAGGAACATGCTATCCTGTTCTCAAGAGGTAAAATAGACTGGTACTCTGCATGTCTAAATGCTCCTCTCTCTGTCTGTCTCTGTCTCCCTCCCTCTCTCCCTCTCTCCCTCTTTTTAATACTGGGGATTGAACCCTCGACCTTACACATTTTAGGCAAATGCTCTACCTCATGTCTGGCAAGTACTCTAACACTTTGCTATATGCTTAGCCCTTTTTATTTTATTTGTTTAGTGCAGTACTGACGATTCAAACCAGGGCCCTCACATTGAGCTACATCTCTAGCCTTTATGTTTTATTTTGTGACAGAATTTCATTAAGTCTCTAAGTTGCCCTGGTTCAGCTTGAGTTTGAAATCCTCCCAAGGCAGCTTCCCAGAGCACTGGCATTAAAGGCCTGCACCAACACACTTGGCTAGCAATTTTCTTGGAATATCTGCTCCTACATATTGCTGTTCCTATTTGAGAACTGATTGGTATTTTTGGATGTGTCAGAAGTTTGCTTTACAGTTGAAGACTGAAGGAGTTCATTGTAAAA